CTGCCTCCTCATTGGAAAAGTGGGAAATACACAAACAGCTCATGCAGCTCAATATCAAAAAAAACCAAACAACCCAATCAAAAGGGCAGAAGATCTAAATAGACATTTCTCCAAAGACACACAGATGGCCAAAAAGCACATGAAAAGATGCTCAACATCACTATTATTATTAGAGAAATGCAAATCAAAACTACAATGAGTTATCACCTCACACCGGTCAGAATGGCCATCATTAAAAAATCTACAAGCAATAAATGCTGAAGAGGGTGTGGAGAAAAGGGAACCCTCCTACACTGTTGGTGGGAATATAAATTAGTATAACCATTATGGAGAACAGTCTGGAGATTCCTTAAACAACTAACTATAGAACTACCATATGATCCAGCAATCCCACTCCTGGGCATATATCCAGAGAAAACCATAATTTGAAAAAATACATGCACCCCAGTGTTCACTGCAGCACTGTTTACAATAGCCAAGGCATGGAAGCAACCTAAATGTCCATTGTCAGAGGAATGGGTAAAGAAGATATATATATTTATATACACAATGGAATATTACTCAGCCATAAAAAAACAAAATAGGGACTTCCCTGGTGGCGCAGTGGTTAAGAATCTGCCTGTTAAGGCAGGGGACACGGGTTCGATCCCTGTTCCAGGAAGATCCCATATGCCATGGAGCAAGTAAGCCTGTATGCCACAACTACTGAAGCCCACGCGCCTAGAGCCCGTGCTCTGAAACAAAGAGAAGCCACCACAATGAGAAGCCCACACGCTGCAACAAAGAGTAGCCCCCACTTGACGCAACTAGAGAAAGCCCGCGTGCAGCAACGAAGACCCAACACAACCAAAAAAAAAAAAAATGAACAAAATAATGCCATTTGCAGCAACATGGATGGGCCTAGAGATTGTCATACTGAATGAAGTCAGACAGAGAAAGACAAATATCATATGATATAGCTTATGTGTAGAATCTAAAAAAAAAATGGTACAAGTGAACTTATTTACAAAACAGAAATACAGTTACAGGTGTAGAAAATAAACTTATGGTTACTGGGGGGAAAGGGGGTGTGGATAAATGGGGAGATTGGGATTGATATATACACACTACTATATATAAAATATGTAACTAATAAGGACCTACTGTATAGCACAGGGAACTCTACTCAGTACTCTGTAGTGACCTATATGGGAAAAGAATCTAAAAAAGAGTAGCTATATGTATATGTATAACTGATTCACTTTACCTGACACTAACACAACATTGTAAATCAACTATACTCCAATAAAAATTTTTTAAAAAAAGAAAATACTGCACATTTTGGTTCTAATTTAACAGTACACACTCAACTGGGGAAACCCAAAGAATTTCACCTATGGTCGCTAATAAAAGCACGAGTCCAAGTATTGCCACTCTCTCTGCCTGCATCTTGCCTTGGCCTCCCTGAGTGAGCCCTTAAGACTTGCTCCTAATTATTGCAGGACCTATGAGTAATAAACTCATCTACTTCAAAAACAGAAAAGAAAAAAAAAAGTGGGAAAAAATACAGAAAGCCCTGCCTCCCAGGGCTGTCGTGAGCCTCAGGATGACAGACATCAGAGCACTTTGTCATTTGTAAAGCGTGATGTGAATGCCAGCTATCCATCTAGAAGTCATCACAGTGACAAGCACTGGTGTGGTCCACCCCATTTGTTCAGCTGTGAAAATGAATCACAGAAAGGCAGTTGCTTGGCTTGGGAGCACAGAGCAGTGCTGGTGGCCAAGCTGAGGTCAGAGGCTACAGCTTTACAGTCACTTTTTCTGCTTATCCTCGTTGTCTGTTTTTAAACTGACTCCCAACACTGTAGTTTTCTCTTACTCATTTTTGGACTTCATATAAATGGAGTCATATAGTATCCCATTGTTCTAATAGACCATAATTTACCTGTTCTGCTGTTGGTAGGTGCTTGGGTTGTTTCCATCTTGGGAACTAATACAAATACTGTGGCTGTGAACATTCTTGACAATGTTTTTGGTGAACGTACACACACATTTCTGTTTGATACAAACCTAGGAGTGGAATTGCTGGTATTGCATTTCTTCAGCTTTAGTAAGTACTGTCAAAGAGTTTTCCAAAGTTGTGGAACTAAGAATCTCATCATCAGTTTATGAGACACTTGGTATTCTTACATCCTTGCTGACACTTGGTATTCTCCATCTCTTTCGTTCTAGCCATTTTGGTCAGTGTGAAGAGGTAGCTGGTTGGTTTTGTTTGTTTATTTCTGTTTTTTAGCTGGTTGGTTTTAATTTGCTTTTCTCTGATGACTAATGAAACTGAGCATCTTTTCGTGTTTTCTGGCCATCCTATATGTTTATATATCCTTTTATGCGAAATGTTTGTTCAAATCTTTTGCCCATTCTTCTATTGGGTCTTTTTCTTGATTGATCAGTAGGAGTTTTAGGGGTTTGTTTTATATATATTCTGGATACAAATCTTTGTTGGTTCTGTGCCTTACAAATTTCTCTCCCATTGCAAACATCTCTCACTTTCTTACAGTTGTCTTTGATAAACAGAAGTCCTTCATTTTGGGACTTCCTGGTGGTCCAGTGGTTAAGAATCCGCCTGCCAATGCAGGGGACATGGGTTAAATCCCTGGTCTGGGAAGATCCCACATACCGCAGGGCAACTAAGCCCGTGCATCACAACTACTGTGCCAGTGCTCTAGAGCCCACGAGCTGCAACTACTGAGCCCGTGCACCACAACTAATGAAGCCCGCTCACTGTGGGGCCTGCGTGCCGAAACTACAGAGGCCGTGTGCTGCAACTACTGAAGCCTGCGCACCTAGAGCCCGTGCTCTACTGCAAGAGAAGCCACCGCGATGTGCACTGCAACAAAGAGTAGCCCCTGCTCGCCACAGCCTGAGAAAAGCCTGCACACAGCTATGAAGACCCAGCGCAGCCAAAAAAAAAAAGTTCTTCATTTTAACATTTCCCTACTTCAACTCATTTTAATATACTATTTAATATTAAATAGTATAATTAATAGTATAATTAGTATAATAGTATAATAAATAGTATAAATTTTTTTCCTTTATGGCTAGTACTATTTTTGTTCTGTTTAAGAAATCTTTGCCTGACCTCATTCTCCTTTTCTTTGATGATTAGAAAAGTTACGAGTAAACACTGTCTATAAAGCTCACACACTACTGTCTTCTTCTCTCTCCTAAGGGGTAATTAGGTCTCCTAATCCTAAACACTCCTACCCCATAAATTCACCTCCTGGGCCCGCCTTGTCTCATGAATACGTGTCCACACACTGACACCGTGCTCTGGAAGAGCTCTTAGGTCAAAGTGCATGAAATCACACAAGGTGCCGTTGGTCTTTATGGGGACCAGCTGGTGCTGTGCTCCAGCCACTCATCCTGTTACCACTCCGTTGAGAGGCAGACAATAATGGGAATGTGGAGGCTTTTCTGAACCCAAATGTGCAAAATTCCACTCGACTCATCAACTTCTTTAGGGGCACAGAGCAGCTCTGACATACTTGAAAAATGAAAAAGGGCTGTGGGCTGTTCTGAGCTCATTGTCAAGCCTGCGGTTCTGCTCTCCCTCCCTTTGCGCCTTTGTTTCTGTCCCTTCAACATCTAAACATTTTCCAACTTTGGACAGCACAGTTGCGCGTCTCCTCTGTGCAGATGTTCGCGATTACTTGGAACAGCCGGCCTCTGTACTGAGTCCTCACACCCTCACGAGCCCCGCAGGGACTGCCCTGAGCTGTACGTGGGGACCCTGCCTGAGGTGTACCCTCCGGTCCACGGCCGTGCCCTGGAGGATGGAGCCCTCAGGCATTGTTGCCATGATTGGGCCTGGCATCCTGGAAGCACTACGTCTTTCAAAGAGCCTTAGATACATCTGTTCTCAATTTTCAGACCACAGGGCGAGGATTTGGGTGCAAGGAGTTTATCTGGGAAGTGATCCCAGGAAGCACTGTGAGGGGGCAGGGAAATGAGGGGCGATCAAGCAAGGTGCACTGATGGGCGGACAACAGACCACCCCTGGGACCTTGCCAGATGTGTGGACCTTGCCTCAGAGCCATTCCACCCAGGGACAAGTGTCCAGCTCCCATCCCTTGTGGTCAAGGGTTGCTCCGTGGCCAGAGAATGGCTTCTAACAGGCAGATCAGGGAAGCAGCAGGCCATGTGGGGGAATGGTGTCTGCCCTGAGTCCTGCAGGGGAGACCGAGGCAGATGGGGAGGACACCGGCCATGTTTGCTTCAGTTATTTTGATAAGGTGTCTCATTCTGAGTACTTTACCCATGTCCAAGTTTCCCATTAATACAAATGGGAAAATGGGAGTCTGTGTTTTTAAATGCTTTTTCCTGTTTTAGTATAGTAGAATTACTTTAATTGTATATTCGTGGATGGTAAGAAACTCTCTAGGTGAAATACTATAAGAAATCACAGCTGGCTCAGCGGAGCTAGCAAGCAGGTGACCTCAGGGAGGATTGAAGTTTGCCTCTTTAACCCCAGGGCAGCCCTGAGCCTACATCACCTGTTGGGTTCTCACTCCTGAGGCCGCATAGCAGCTGCACCAGCCTCAGCTCCAGAGTGAGCCCGCCCTGAGGAGGCTTGGTTGCTGAGGTTCTTTTCCCATGCGCTCTGTACAACCGGTGGGAATCTGCCTTGTACGTCCTACATTGAATGTATCTGCTTGTTAAGGGCTCCCAGGCCCCAGCCTGCATCGGATGCCTCCTAGGCCCTCAATAGCTAGTGCAGGAACTGCTGAGCTCAACCCCCAGGAGGTGAGCCCTCCTAGGAGTAAATACATGGAATTTTGTTGAGCTAAATGAACTAGTTGAAATGATGCATCTATTTTTTTTGAAATCCAGATACATGACCCTCCTTCTTCCCCTCATGTTTCAAATCCCAAATCCAAACCGGTCAGGGGGCCCCACCTTCCGGCCCCATTGTGACCTGTGTGCGGAGTTCTCGGCAGTCATGTTCCTTCCCTTGTCAGCAGCATCTGATGTGCGCTGGACTGTGGTGCCTGGTGGAAGGAGATACATCCTGCAAGACCAAACTGGACCCTCCCCTGGATGGCACAGAGTGTGGGGCAGACAAGGTAACCCAGCTTCTCACTGCCCCCAGTAGGCAACCCCATATCCCCTGCACATTGGCACCTCTTCTGAAAGGTGGTCCGCACTGCACTCAGGAGCCCCTGAAGCATCCCTGGGCCACCCCAGAAATGCCATGGAGCCCACTTAAGGCGCAGAGGGATATGTTCAGCTCTCTCCTTTTTTTCTTATACAGGAATCATTTACTCAGTATTTTTATTAAATTAACTCATTTTGTCACATGAGTGAATTTACTTAAAACTTTTATATCAGTAGACCGTAAATGGAAAAAAAGGATCACTTGCCGTGCAGAAAAGGCTGTCGTAAGATGATTTTAATGAGAACGATACTAGCGGTTAAGAGCGCCAGTCTTTGGCCTGATCTTCATTAACAGGAGAGACTGGCAAGTGTTAGGAGAGGTGTTCAGGACCAGCAGCCACAGCCTAAGGCTTTCTCTCTAGTCTTATTGTACAAACTGAAAGAGATGCTGTGATCAGTACCATTAAGTCACATCTCCTGCCCCAGGGTTTGTGCCACACACGTTGGGAAATTATTTTAGAGGATTGGCTTTCTCTTATCCTCAGAAAGAGCCAAGGTTCTCCCACGTGGCACCAGCTGTATCATCTCCAAGCACCAATCCCAACCCTGAAGTTCAAAACTCCAGAGCCAGGAAATACTGCCTTTCATGAAGAGACTCACATTAAACAGTTTGCAGAAGATAGGTTTCTCCATGAGCCATGTGAATTCATCCTTTTTCTGGGAATTTAGAGAACCTCCACTGAACACATTCACGTGGAATTTTAGGGCAAAATCCAAACCCAGAGCCATAGCGGTGTCAGGTTGGATATGGAAGGAATGTCACCAATGTCACCAGAGTTAGCAAACTTACACACCCCGAAATAGTCTACTTTTGTGTAAATTACAAAAAATTGGGTTTTGGAGGCGTGGTGTTTTCTCATGTGGAGGGGATCGCAGTTTTTAGTGAGTAAGCAAGTTTGCTGCCCTGCTCTGTTTCAGTGGTGCCGCGCGGGGGAGTGTGTGAACAAGACGCCCATCCCGGAGCACGTGGACGGAGACTGGAGCCTGTGGGGCAGCTGGAGCATGTGCAGCCGCACGTGTGGCACGGGAGCCCGCTTCCGGCAGAGGAAATGCGACAACCCTCCGTAAGTCCCCCTGACCAGCCTTCTCCAGGGTGCCTGGATCGGGGTTTCCAAACTGCAGCTTGCATTGCCTTGCAGAGCAGGGTCTGTCTCCCGCTGTTGATTTGCGCTGAAGGAAAGTGAACTTGAACCGAAGGTCCAGGTTGCCGGGCATTGTGTGCGTCAGATGGCGTCTCAGCTCAAACAGAACTCTCTCTGTAACAGAGATGCAGTAAGTCCTGTGGGGAGCTGGCTACCCTTCCTTGCGTGGGCCCTGGTAGAACCGTTTCTCATCCAGCTGGAAGAGAATCCCTCCCGGCCCGCTTCCTGGCTGCCTTAGACAAGGGTTATCCCAGGGACGCTGGCAGACCTTCGGAAAAGTGAGGCTGACCTTCAAATTGGTTATGAGCTAATCTGGGAGCAGCCTGGCTGTTGATAAGTTGCAAAGCATTTGTGAGTTCCACTCTTTTGTATCCAAATATCTTTCACCTGTCCTGTTAGAACTGTTTGACAGAAAATAGTTTTTTAGTTTTGTTTCCTCATAGGCTTCCTTTTATTGACTATGATGATGCAATCCTTGTTCACCTCTACACATTTGCTCCAAAAAACTCAGGGCTAGATCTTATGCTTAACTGTAATAATTCCTTTATCACAGGTTTATTTTTTCTCCTTTTCTCTTGAAATTTCCCATTTTTAATGTTTCTTTAAATAATCTGTTTTACATCTTGTGTGCCATCACATTAATTTTTGAAAATGAGCAAGTTATAAATTATGACTAAAAGGAAATGGTTTATATCTACAATTAAATCATATTGATGAATAATTAGCAAACCTCTCCTGTATTTAAAAATTCTAATGTCCAATGTATATCCCAGACCAATTAAATCACAAACTCTGCAGGTGGGGCCCAGGAATCAGGTGTGCCAAATCTCTCTGGGTGACTCCAATGACCAGCCAAGGTTGAGAACCTCCAGATTAAAGGAAAACTTACGCTCACAGTTTAGTCAATGTCAAGAACACTGTATTTTCTGGTAGTTATGTAAGCATTGGCATTATGTATTGTCTTATTAAAACTTTTCCCTCCAGCACCCAGCAGAGTGCCTGACAGACAGTAGGTAGGTATTTAATCTTTTAGAAGTGAATTCTTAATTAAAAGCATAGGTGGTATATTAGGATTTTCCAGAGAGGCAGAACCAGTAGCCATATACATATGATTTATTATCGGCTCACATGGTTATGGAGGCTGAGAAATTCTGTGATCTGCCACATGCAAGCTGAAGGCCCAGGTATAATTCAGTCTGAGTCTGAAGGCCTGAGGACCAGGGGGGCCCCTGATGTAAATACCAGTCCAAGGGCAGGAGAAGATGAGAGGAGACATCGCAGCCCAAACAGTGAGGCCTCCTTCTGCCTTTTGTTCTAATCAGGCCCTCAGTGGATTGGGTGATGCCCACCCACACTGGGGAGGGCAACTGCTCTAGGAGTCCACCAATCCAAATGCTAATCTCATCTGGAAACACCCTCACAAACACCCCCAGGAAGAATTTTTAGTCTCAGCATCCCATGGCCAGTCAAGTTGGTACATAACATTTGCCATCATAGATGGGTAGATGATTAGAAAACCTATTTAGCTAAGTGGTGAGAGGTTAATAGTGGCTTCAGTTTTTCCATTTCTCTATGATGATGTTAAAATAGTTCCACCTCTCGCCCAAAGAAGAGAGCTCTGGGTTTGGAATCATGTTGTGGAGATTTGGGCCTGGTTTGGTTGGTTATTGGTCGTGTGACCTCAAGGAAGACCAATCTCTCTCTGGGCCTCAGCTTCCTCCTTTACAGGGAGCTGGCATGGTATAGTAGGAAGAGCCAGGCTTCAAAGCCAGAACACACAAGGCTTCAAATCCCAGGGCCACTTTTTTTTTTTTTTTTGCAGTACGCGGGCCTCTCACTGCTGTGGCCTCTCCCATTGCGGAGCACAGGCTCCAGACGCACAGGCTCAGTGGCCATGGCTCACGGGCCTAGCCGCTCCACGGCATGTGGAATCTTCCTGGACCGGGGCACAAACCCGTGTCCCCTGCATCGGCAGGCAGACTCCCAACCACTGCGCCACCAGGGAAGCCCTCAGGGCCACTTTTTATAGCAACAGGCAGCTGTTACCTTCCTATCCATCTAAAAATTGGAAAAATCCATGGGAATGCATGTAAAGTACATGATCTGTATTTACTACATGGCCCCTCTTGATATTAGCACCAGGAGAAGAACAAGGGCAAGACCACATGCCCTACCTCCTACCTCGCAGCACTGTTTTGAGGCTCAGAGGAGAAAGGATTTGTTAAGTGCAGAGCACAATTTGTAAAGGCTGTGGCTGTCATGGGTGCTTTATGTTTGTGATTGGAGCTCAGGTGTTCTGGCCAAGGACTGCTCTCCTTTGGCACATTACGTACATCATCCCAGGTCAGGTGACACCCAGTAAATGTCATAGTAGGGGAATATCTGACCCTTTAAATACCTCTGGAAGGACTCTGTGTCCCAAGATTGTCAACAATAGGATTGTGTTTAGGTGAAGGCACCCTTGCAAGAATAAGATGTTATCAATGCTGAGCAAATGTGTTAGGCACAACTTTCATGGGACCTGATTTTGTGTTTTGTGAAGATGACGTCGGCTAAGGCGCACCCACCCCCCCAACCATGCTTCGGCTGTGCCCATTGTCCCCACCCCAGCTGCTTTCTCTGTTCTGGGCACAGGGGCATTTTGTGATAGGAGGCTCCTAAAGACCCCTGAGTTCAGAGGGCTGAGTGAACATACCCCCCTCCCTGGCCTGTACTGCCGTGGGATTTCCCATGCTGCGTCCTCACCCCACCCCTCCAGGCCCATTGGCCCCATAAAGAGGCTGTTCTGGAAATCCCAAAGTTGTTTTAAAAACCTTCTTCCATTCCTCTGCTTTATCAGGTGGCCCCCAACTGGCGGTCATGAACTTCATCTCTCCTTGTCCCCTTCCTACATCTTATCATTGAGGAATGGGGAATCCGTAGGACTACCGCATGTAGACAGCTGAGGGGTTTTATGGGTCTCAGCACATCAGGTGGTTGTGGGCTCTGACACATCTCCAGGAGGGAAGTCTTCCAGCAACACCCCGTGGGGCAGGGCAACTGGAGAAGGACCCGAGAGAGAACACCCTCCTCGGAGATGCCTCTCCAACATGTGGCCTTCAGTAAACCTGCATAGGGCCCTAACTCAGGGCCAGGGACCCTGCTCGGTGTACACTTAAGATAAGCAAAACTGGATAAAGTCCCCGCCCCCCTATAGGGGCATAGTCCTGCCAACTGCCCTTGGTTTTCTCCTGGACACCTCAAACCTGACGGTTCCTAAGCTGCGATCTCTCCTCCCCCAAACTCCCCTCCCAGCCCACGTCCCCCTCAGTAAATAGCACCACCAGCTGTTTCATAGGTCGAGTTCAAAGCCCCTGAGTGCATGCATGGCCCCTTGTCCCCTCTCTTCCTCCTCCATGTTTGATAATGATAAGAACAGGGCACGCAGGGCCCTGGCCAGGTGCCAGGTTCCCTTCTAGACATTTGCACATAGTAAATCACCTAAATTTGTCATAAGGGAGAGGCGTCTTTTTTGTCCCCTTTGCACATGTTAAAAATTGAATCATATGGAGGTTAGGTAACTTGCTGCAGGTCACACAGCTGGGCAACGGCCGGTCAGGTTTGGACCCAGTGGCGAGGCTCCAGTGTCCTTTTGGACGATAAGCATCAGCCTCCCTGCTTCCCACATGATCCCCCTGGCCACCAAATTCATTCTCCACAGAAAGCCAGAGACATCCACTTACCAGTAAAGCCAATTATACCTCTTCCTGCTTCAGCCCTTTTATTCACTCCCCGCTGCACTTAGAATGAAATCCATGCTCTTCACTGTGGCCCCTGTATTAGTTTCCTGTGGCTGCCATAATAAATTACCAGGACTTGGTGTCTTTTTTTTTAAATTTATTTTATTTTTTATTTATTTATTTTTGGCTGTGTTGTGTCTTTGTTGCTTTGCGCGAGCTTTCTCTAGTTGCTGTGAGTGGGGGCTACCCTTCGTTGAGGTGCGCTGGCTTCTCATTGCGGTGGCTTCTCTTGTTGCAGAGCACGGGCTCTAAGCTCACGGGCTTCAGTAGTTGTGGCTCGCGGGCTGTGGAGAGCAGGCTCAGTAGTGTGGCGCACAGGCTTAGTTGCTCCGCGGCATGTGGGATCTTCCCAGACCAGGGATCAAACCTGTGTCCCCTGCGCTGGCAGGCGGATTCTTAACCACTGCACCACCAGGGAAGTCCCTTGGTGTCTTAAAACAATATAAATTTATCCTCTCACAGTTCTGGAAACAAGGAGTTTGAAGTCAAGGTGTCAGCAGGATTGATTCCTTCCTGAAACTCTGAAGGAGAATCCACTGCTCTCCTGTCCCCTTGCCCTTGGTGGCTGCCGGCCTTCTCTGCCCTCTAGACTTACCACTCTAGCCTTTGCCCCTGCCTTCATGTGGACGTCTTCTCTGTGCTTCTCCTTACCGCCTCCTCTCTTCTCAGGACACTGGCCATTGGGTTTAGGGGCCACCCTAATCCAGGATGATCTCATCTCATAATTATGAGATCCTGATGATATCTAGCAAGACCCTTTTCCCAGTTAAGGTCACATTTGCAGGTTCTGGGTGGGTTTGTCTTTGCAGGGGAAGGCACCACCCTATTCAACCTACTGTACCTCCTTTCTGTTGTCAGACACAACGCCCCAACCTCCGGACCTGGGTCGGTGCTCCTTTCCCTCTTCCAGGCTTCCTTTGCCCTCTTTGTGTCTTCTCTTCAGACGGGTCTCCTCGCCTGACCACCCTGCCCGTGGCGGGTGCCTGCTCTACATGCTCTCTCTGCACCCTTTCCTAACGTTACAGGTATTATAATGATTTATAATTACTCATATGCATTTGCTCACTTGTTTTCACTGTGTCCTCCCCCACTGACCTTTGAGCTGTTGGGCCCCATCCTCCTTCCATGCCCACAGCAGACCAG